TTTTCTTGAAAAGTGAGTGGACTCGGCTTTTGCCATATTATTCCGGGTACCCCCGGACAGGCAATGCGGCGAAATTAGCCACACGAAGTTCGTTATGGTGTTTATTTGGTCATTGGCTCCTCCAACACGGCTCGTGCTCGGTCTAGGGCAAGCAAAGGGAACTGCAGATAGGCCTGGAAGAAGAACATCGCGGTAAGATTGCAAGCTAAACGGTATTTCTTGGTGCAGTTCTTGGTGTGACACAGATGCATGGTTTCCAAACCTGTCATTCACTGCGATGTTGTTCATGACCTCTGAGATAATCTCGGCATAGTCATAACTTGAGCCTGGAACACATGTTCAGCCTTTGGGTTTATAGGAATAGTTGGAATGGAATATCAGAGCTACTTGTGTAGGCTTAGTTTGACAATGTCTTCCTTGAGACTTGTGACGCTACTCATATAGTGTTTCTGGGGCATTAAAAAAATTTAAAACCAAGATTATTGTTCAGAACAAAATGGACAGAGAATTCACGACAGCCATAACGGTAAATATCTCAATGATGCTATTGAGAATGTCTTTTCCCAGATCCATTAGCTAATAACAACAGTCAAATGCTACGCATTTCCTTGAATTATTATGTATTATATATTGCAGGGGTAGCTGGCGCCTAAACCTCAATCAGCTATCGGTTACCATTTCGGGACCCCGACGTTCGTATACGAGAATCCACAACAGAACATATATAGGAGTACATCGAGTACAAAATACAAACGACACCACACCCCAACACCAAAATACAACCCAAATCCATCCCCAGAGCAAAACCCACAAAAGAGCTAACCCAAAATGCCAACCCCAAACCCCATCCCCCTCCCAACACTGGAAGCCTTCACGAAAAGGACGCTGCACCTCACACAAGCAACGCTAACGCGCCACCCCAAAATCGAGGCGACGATCATATGATCTTCACCATCAGCGAATCACCAGGCCATCTGTTGCGCGTGACAAAACCCCGCGAAGACCGGCCCTTATCACTGGGGACGGAAATGCAAAGATTTGACATCGCGGTGCGAGGGCTCATCGCGGCGGAATACGCGGCTCGTGGGCTGTCCGGGGATATCATACCGAAATCCGTTGGGCATGAGGTTCTCACTGGAGATGGGGTTCATGCTGTTTCCATGGAGACGAAGTTGGAGGGCGTTGGGTTGCATCGGGGTGGTTTGACTGGTCTGACTGAGAGGACGGTTGAGGGGCTAGTGGAGATGATGAGGGTTATGAAGGGGGTTGATCTCGAGGGGCTGGAGGGGAGGCTGAAGGATTTGGGGGTGGTTGGGTTTGAGGTTCCTTTTATTCCGTGGCCGGAGATTCGGGGGATGAGGGAGAGGGCGGTTGTTGCGTGGAGGAGGCTGGTTAGTAGGGGGCAGATTCTGGGGGATGATTATGGGGTTAAGGATGGGGATGATTTCGAGGCATTGGGTGAGAGAAAGACGGCATTTATAGGACGCGTGAGGGATATGGATGATGAGACATCACGGCGGGTGCTCATTCATAATGATATTAAAGGAGAGCATATCCTGGTGGGCTCCGATGGTCGGGTTACTGGCATACTGGACTGGGCGGATGCGGGCGTTGGATATCCGGCGACTGATATCGCGGGCTTGGTGTTGACTGTTGGGCCGCGGTTGGCTATCAGAATTGCGCGGGAGGTTGGGTATGCAGAGGATGAAATTCTTCAGGGACTGATACAGGCTCGGTGTGAGTGTGTTTTGAGGTTGGATGATCGATTGAATGGGGATGATGAGTTGACGCCGATTGATCTGTTGAAGGGTCAGCTTGTTTTGTCGATGGAAGATTGTGAACTTGTTGATTGTGTATGAGTGTTAGAGGAAGGGTGTACATAGAATTGCGATAGTATAGAGCTTATTAGTGTGAGAGTTTGATATAGATAGTAAGTATCCCGGTCAAAACTAGACAGAACAGCAGGAAAAACTATGATGAACTGGGCTTTAGGATATGTTACATATTAAGAGAATACATCTAGATAGAGGCATCTCCATTATTACAACACCATTGTAGACCATCTCTGTTATATCAAGAGTCATTCGTCTCAGACAAGTGTTTCAAATGACAAAGTAGAAAGATTTTTGTGTAATTGAGGTAACTCTAGTAACCGTATAAGTGCAAAACGGTGAAGAAAAGCTTCAGAAAACAGAATGGCCTAATGGCCTCATCTATGCGAAGTCCAACGCAATGACCAGTTCTTGGATCGTTGATGGCTGAAATTTCCGCAGACAGTCAATTTCCCTATATAGAAACGATCGTTCAGTATGCAGTAAGACTTCGTAAATGGGATATGATCTGCAGGTTGCAGCCCGCGCCATGAGCCACAAATATATGTGATGTATCTGAAGCCAAAAAAAAGGTCACGACTGTGTTGGCGTTATGTGTCAGGGCTGCAGCACTCTAATTCTTTAATTCTGACTGCAGGCTTCGTCAACAGACAACAGAGATACACGTAACCCATGAACAAGCTTCAAGGCGTAGTCGCATGCTGACGACAACTGCATTTCAGCTGTACCAGAATGCAGGTATGGATATTATTAGGATTGAGGCAACACTACTCTGACGCGCGGCGGTGGTAGGCTTCTGCCATGTAGCGAGATTCTAGACAATCTGCAATGGGATTAAACTTCATCTGCAAGGCCACCTCGCATCTGCCACAGCGAACTAGCTTTAGGCATCAATGTTGGCCATGAATTGGTCGCTTATTTGAGGTAGAAAATAACGAGGTTTGTATTACACGATTGTCAAGCTCAGTGAATTTTAGTACCCCGTTCTATAGAAATTTATATAGATTACTAGACTTAAGATTGTCATATTTTCAGAGTTCGAGAGAAGGTTGTATCAGGAATCAAATAACCACCATAGCCTATCTTAGCTCACAGGGTATCACAGAGTTAACAAGAGTGTGCGACCGAGAATGAGCGTGTTAATAGAGCACTCAACACTGTGAAGTCATAACTTATCACCACACCGCTGTCCGCCCTGGCTACTCTCGGGTATAGAGAAGAGTGCGACTAGTATGATCCCACAATCCAGCAAAGCGGATAATATCTAGTTAAGCGAATCATTTCGCGTAGGAAGTAGTAATCTGGAGGCTCGTGGCTTTTGGACAGCCCATTCAACAGGTTCAAGCAAAATGCCCAGCGACTTCACAAGTTGATTGGTAAAACCAAGCTGGAGGATCTGCCCTTTTCATGGCAAGGCCCTATGGATCAAGTTCTGCAGCAGCAGGAAAAAGCCGTAAGCAACCGGAGTCGATCAGACATCTTGTCTTGACTCATCACTTTCACAGAATCCGGAGTTAAAATGTGCTGTGATCAGGTAGCGCGTTTCCTCTTTCCTTAACCGCTCACTATCACAGAGCCGATCAGTGCATTGCAGTAGCTCCAAGCCCACCCTTCGCACGACGATCCGAGTGACCCAAAGAAAGTGATTTCTGTTCATCTCAAAGATGGAAAGGAGACCATAGATTGGATTCATGTTCATGGAGATGGAACAGTGCGTAGGTAGTGTTCCGCCCTGCCATTGTCTCGACAGGGCATTCATCGCAACACATCTTGAGATGCGTTCAATTCAGATAGAAGGAGCCTGGGGTATGAATGATGGTTTTCTGTTTTCGTCACATCCTTTGGCAGCTCGTAGTATGCATA